TGCAGCACGCCCCGAGTTGCGTGGCGTGCGAGGTCCCGCCCAACGCTGCTTGCAGCTTTAATTATTATTGGCTTTTATATTCATTTATTCATTTTTGTTCATAAACACAGAGAATGGCTTTGTGGTAATGTATCCTTAATATAATGTCAGGGTTGGGGGAAAAAGGATGGGAAAAAGAGACTAAGTCATTGCAATACCCCAGGAGATAATATTTGTTTATCCATTTACTTATTGTTAAATACAGAGTTTGTATACTAGGCTATGGCTTGCCATATGTTCTATTCAGACTGGTAGAGTGGGAATGCAGAGAAATGTTGGACACTACTAGAAGGCAAGTTCACCTCTAGTGAGGGGCCCCACCATTACTGGGGGACCTTCCCCTCTCCTTCCAACAGGGGGCATAATTAAAGAGGTCTGTTGTTATCATAAGCATTGTTTTGGAGTTTGAGTTCATATTGTTGTTAGAATTGCAGGTGTCAGTGGGAGAGAAAGGGAAAACCTAAAGAAAGGAGGAGATGCAACATAGCCAACTTAAAGTCGTGTCTCTAAATGTGAACAGGTTAAATAACCCAATGAAAAGAGGGAAGGTCATAGCAAAACTGAAAAAATAAGGATCACAGGTTAGTTTTCTACAAGAAACACATTTATCGGATCAGGAGCATGAAAAATATTTTAAAAAATGGGATTTAAAAATACATACTATAGCTCATACAAAAATGGGAGGAAAAGAGGGGTAATGATTTTAATTTCAAATGCAATAAAATTTGAGACTTTAAAGGAAATGAAAGATAAAGAAGGAAGATACATTCTGGTTAAGGGGAAAATTGAAAATCAACTAGTTACACTCGTCAATGTGTATGCACCTCCGGGCAGTGAGTTTTTTCAAGAATTTATTTGAAGCTGTTGTTCAAGAAATAGAAGGGATACTGATATGTGGAGGGGACTTTAACATTACACTGAATCAGGATTTGGACACAACTAGTACAAAGAAAAGTAGCAAAATGCAAGTGACCTGATACTTAAATACTGTATTAACAGAGCTAGGAATTTCAGATGTTTGGAGGGAACTACATCCATTCGAGAGGGACTTCACATTCTACTCAGCTTCTCACTCAGTCTATACAAGGATAGATTATTTTTTCATGAATATAGCGGATAGATTTAGAATAGAAGAGTGTAAGATTGGAGTAGCAGACATGTCAGATCATTGTATTCTCCACCTGACACTAAATATGAACAGCAGGAAAAGGAATACTGTATGGAGAATGAATGTCAGTGTACTAAATAATCCAGGATTTGTTGAGGAGATCAAAACAGAAATAAATACATACAGGGAAGAGAACGACAATGGGGAGGTAGATTTTACTACTCTTTGGGATGCCATAAAAGCAGTTATGCGGGGAAAACTAATATCTCGAGCAGCATACAACAAGAAAGCTAGACTGAAATTATATCAGACGAAGATTGAAGAGCTTAAAAAATTTGAGCAACATAAAGACTCAATTATTGCAGGTTTACTTCAACAAATCAAGGAAGTGAAGACAAAAGTGAATGAGATACTAGGTGGAAAAGAAATCTTGACTTCTGAAGCAGACTTACTACGAATCAGGCTCCAAAGCTACAAAATTACTAGCTAGGCGAATAAGGAAACAGCAACTCATGAATACAATCCATAAAATCAGAGATCCCACAACCAATTCACTAGAATTTGAACCAGGAAAAATAGAAAAAGTTTTTGAAAAGTATTACAAAAAGCTGTATACACAACCGGACTCAGCAGATGAGGAATTAATAAGAAACTTTTTAAGTTCATTAGATCTACCAACAATAGGAGAGAAGCAAAACAAATGTATAAATTCATATATCACAGCAAAGGAATTGGAAGAAGCCATTAATAAGTTAAAATAAAATAAAGCCCCGGGGAGCGACAGATTCCCGGCTGAATGGTACAAAATGTTTAAAAAGGAATTGGGTCCAATGTTATTAGCAGCATTCAATGAAATCTTAAAAAAGGTAAGATTCCCCCCTCTTGGAAAGAAGCCATAATCACGGTGCTTCCCAAGGAGGGGAAAGATAAAGAATTCTGTGAAAATTATATCATTTCTGTATTAAAATTTATTGGTCTTATGAAATATATGAAAT